ACAGAAATCTCGTCACAAGGAAGTGCTTTTCCAGAATCTTCTAAACTATGAAAATATATGATTCACTGCAATTTTTAGGTATAATTATTCGTAATTAACATGTTCAAAAATTATTTATTAATTTACGACTATGTCATTTAGTAATTATTTAAAGTATTAACGTAAATAGAACTGTATAAAAATTGCACGCAGTCTTTGTACTAAATATAAAATAAATATAATTTTTAGACCACGCAATATTTATTTAAGAGCTAAGTTGAAAAAATCGGATTCGAGTTGAATAAATAAATTGAATCATTGTAGACGTATTGAAGGCAGTTTTATGTTTTTAAAAAGAATTAAATGGAAATTATACAAAATAAAAAAAGTAGAAATTTAAATGAAAACTGTATATGTTATATAGACTCACTGTATTTGATTTGCATTTATTTACAAAAGAGTTTATTATATTGGAAATTTCATACTTTGTTGATTCTAGTAAATAACCTAAATATTATATGTGATATGTAAATTGAAATTACGTCTGCGACGATTATTAGAATGTTTTAGTGTTTATTCTAAAGAAAAATGCTTTATAGAATATTGTTGACACAAAAACTAAAGTAGTTAAAATCATCTCAGTTTTATGAATTCGGTTGTTTATTGTTTCCAGAATAAATTCATGACCATTATATTTAAAATCGATAGTTTATTAGTTAAAAGGCAATGGCTGATCCAGAAGAATCCAAAAAAAGAGCTAACTCAAAAATGTTTAAATAAGTAGACTACAATTGTCTTGCTTAACACGTGCAACATTGTATTAAGGAAAGTCCAATAAACCATATTTATCATCATAAATGTTTTTAAAAACAATGTTTTGAAGTTCGAATACATAAATTTTAATTATTATTATTATTAATTTTTTTTGTTAATTGGGAGAGTCCCTGTAGCTACTGTAGCTCATGGATCCACTCCTGTTAGAGAGTGATATATTAAAGTAATAAAGAATTACAGTTGTCCCTCGATAATCCGACAGGTATGGAACCAAAGGTGTGTCGGATTACCAAAAGTGTCCGGATTACCGAAAATAATTACATATTTCGCATTGTTTTGCTAGTAGTAACTTACAATATTCTCTACTCCAACTGTTTGAACAGAACTGCTCACATAAAACACACGAAATGTGTGTCATCGAGTAAGAATTGGATGGGGAGATTCACATCGCGACATGCTTCTGTGCAAGCAGACACGTAACGGGGACGGGTACCTTGACGGGAGGTGCGTCGGACTACTGAGCATGTCGGATTAAAAAACGTCGGACTATANTAAGTTAACACCGCCAGATGTCGATACTATGGTGGTATTAGTTACAAACTTCGGAAATCTGTCATTCCCGTTCCGGCATTCGTCCATTGTGGTTGTGATATTTCATCGATCGTAATTTTTCAAGAGAATCATGAGCGTCGACGTACACGGAAGAAAAAGTCATGAAGCAAGAAATTCAGCCGAAGAAGATGAAAAATTTTACGCTGAAATTGGAAAAAAATTTTGGGAACTATCTATGAGGGAAAACGTTATGCCACAGAAGAAAGTTAATGATGGTGAGTAGAAATTTATGCTTTGTAATCATGCGTTTTCTCTTACTTTATTTTAGAAGAGACCTTAATAATAGATGTTTCCAAAACTTAGAATTTCGGGAGCGATCAATATAATAAAACTCCTGTTTATGTAACTCGTAAAGGCCTGGCAAAAAGGGCCTTTGTTACGGCTTTTTTTTTTTAGTTTACAGTGTTTTGGTTTACCGAATAATAATGAATACGGCTTACGTCTGATACACAACTCTTATCTTGTGGCGTATGTTTCCAGCAGATAAATGCGTTTTTTTAATTGAATTTTTCAAAAATATATAACAGTTGTACTGTAGGCTTTGTAATTTTCCTCAACTGATATGTTGTGAAGCGATTTCTGCACTGGATTTCAAATATATCATTGTTTTACAGAGGAATTCTACGAAAAATAATACGTTGCTACCACCTGCAGTAAATTCTCTTGCAGCGTGAGAGTACTGTACACTCGCGATTGTTATGTGAAACAATTGCGATACAATAAAATAACAATGTGAAATATTCAACCTTTACCACAGTGCTACACATTTTATGTTTTTTTTTTTTTTTTTTTTTTTTTTAATTATCGGTGACACATCAGTGCTGATGTCTATGTATTGAAAGTAATTTCTTTTTCTATTTGAAAGATTATAAAGTTGTATTTTAAAAGAATTCGACTCTGGAGAATAATAAATAATACAATTTTTAAAAACACTTATATACAAAGTCATAAAAATATTTATAAATTGGAAGGAATGCAAGAAGGAATATTAGATGGAAACCACAGAATTGAATCTTCTCAAAGATTGGAGAAATTAGTTAAAACGGAACAGCTTTAGTTTGAATTAAAGGCACATTGGACTTTTCCCATATTGAAAAGTGTAACTTACGAGCAATTCCAAATGTTATAAATTTTATTTCTATCATTGAATTTTTGTTTCGATGGCCTAATGTAACTTTTTTCAAAAAAGCGGTCTTGAAATGTTTATCTGTGGTTCTTTTGGAGTGAGGTTAGAGACCACATTGGACCACCAAGGGGAGGGGACGAATTTGAACTTTAATTAACATAGGACATATGGTTTATTTTAATTAGTATTATTCTATAGTTTATGGCAATGGTTTCAATCAGAGTGCCGCCACACACTACGGTGTCTCAATAATACTTCAATGGTATAGTGAAGAGGGCCGTCGAGAGGAGAAAGAGCTGGGGGATTTTTCTCTGGGCCCAGAGAAACTTATGGGTCCGTAGTGATTCCTAATCCTATAAAATTAATGTTATTTTTACTAATAGAAAAAATCTTTAATTCTCGTTTTTATTAATAAAGGAACATTCTATGTAGTTCATTTGTTCAAAAAAATTAATAGCTAAAGGGTCCGTCCGCTTTATATCCGAGTTCTTTATAAGCTTGATACAACGCTGTCCGCGAAATATATTGCTAAGCAGCTAATGTCAATTTTATGCAGACTATATTATTTAGTCTACTTATTTTTACAAATTTAAATCATTTAGTCAATCATAATCTTAAGAATAAATATTTTTGACGTATTAGATTATTTGATTATAAATTGGAATTATTATTATTTTTTAATTTAGAATAGATAAAAGTCTCCTATTTGCAAAAAACTTAAGACACAGTTTATTATATTTTTTGTAGAATGTTCTGAAATATAGGATATATTGAAAGAAAATTCATATAGGCCCAGTAGCCTGCAGACTATAAAATAGAGGATATAAGCGATAAAAAAAGGGCATCGTACATTATGCAAAGAGCTTTAAACTCTATGATTCAAACGTTGGATCCACGCTCCCATAAGGTGGAAATGGTTGCACTGGGGATTAACTTGGCGTTGAAACAAGGAATGGGTTTTGGTCAACATAGGACGAAGTCAATTGACAAATATCCTTCATTAGTTCCTTTTATATTTGCAGAATAGGCTAGAAATAATGTGTTTTGGGCACTCTTGAAAAGGGGAGCACTTGCCCCAATGTACGGGCATCCATGTATTAGCTTATCGATTTTTATAAATAACTATATATATAATTTTTTTTGATAAATCAATACATTATTGATACAAATTTAATTGTAAAACTAAAATTGGAGACGTAATTGACTCTATTACAACATGGTATAAAATTAATATGACCAACGGATGGAGAATAAAATTCTGGCTGGAAATGTATCGTTCTATTGATAAGAGAAGACCCCACTAAAAGACCGCTTAAGTATAAAATTGTAATAGTAAACTGTACAGTTAATATAGAAACATTAGTCTATTATTAATTTATATTTTTATATATTAACTATAGAAACATGACTTTAATATATCAACGGAGTTGAAAGTGAAATTCAGTTAAATATATAAACAAATAATTTTTTGTAAGACCGAAATGCAATGTACTAAAAAGTCCAATTGATAAGATGTGTAGTTTAAGAACGACAGAGTATGCTTCTTATCTTAATCAGCACTCATTCAAATAAATTTACGATAAGCATTCGAAGTCTAGTAGAAAGTGTTGATTTATTGTATAAAAATTAAATTGAATAACAAATTCTTAAATTTTTTACAAACTTTGCATATAAATTCTATTCTACATCATTTCAGTCGATTTGCTGCGTGACCTATATCATAGATAAAAAGGCATTAAATCATAACAGAAAAAGCCAATAATCAAACAAATAGCTTGCTAGACAATTGATGTCGGGTTTACATATTTAATAATGAAAATCAGATACTGATTCTTTAATGTTTCAAAATATTATACACTATATACTGTATTATCCAAGGTTTTGTTGGTAAAGATAAGATTAAATTATTGTTCATGTATATTAATAGGCCTACATGTTTTAATATTTTTATAAAATAATTGTATATGTTAGAAAATTCGATTTTGTTTTAAAAAACCAGGTACAGTATTTGAAAATCATTTTGTCCACAACTTTTGTAGAAAGTTTCATTTTATTTATACACGATGTTTTAAAAATATATTTAAGTATTTTTAATAATTTGAAATTGTTTAATTTCATATGCACACTACGTGACGCGATCATATACATGTATAAGGACGGGCATATAATATTATGTATATTAATAAATAACCGTTGTTTCTCTAGTGTTTCATAAAAGTCACGTGTTTTGATGACAGAGCTGAAATCTACAGAAATGTTTTTTAAAGTTAAAAAATATAATAATTTAATTAATTTAATTCCATTTTATACTATATTTTTCATTGCCACCAGACTTTAATTTCATTTTCATAAATGAAATATTTAAAAATGTCTACAGAAAATATAAATAATCCAATCACTTTAAAGAAAACCGTTCGACGTCATTATGCTCAGCCAGTAAGAAGAAAGCGTCGTTCTCATTAGGATGTCGATTCTCCGTACAAATCATATGAATGTATTAAGGTCACATGGGAAAAACAATTCAAACGTCACGACTCTTAACCAATCAGAAGTTATATTTGCAAATCATGTGACTTACACCGCCTCCGTCACACATGGACGTGTGGAGAGTGGGGGGGTTATGTTCGGAATGGTTTGGGAAAAAATGACGATTTTATGAAAGAATCGAATAATTTAGATAGGTCTATAGTTTAATTTTAGGTTGTGTGGATATCAATTTGTGAAAATGGCTTTCGAGCTGAGACTTCACAGTCCAGCTGGAGGTGAACCGGCGGTTTATCAGTGGCCACTATCAACATCGGTAAGATTAAGCCTACTTCTAGGCCTAAGTTGTTTGGATGGTTGTTATGGTAACTGATCTGAGATTTAAAAGTTATTTTCATGAAATTTAAACATACAGCGACAATTAAATAGCATTTTTTCTCTGTATTTTTCAGGATAAACATGACGGGGCCATTGAAATCGTCGAAACGATCAGGTATGAAAGTTTTTCAACAATAGAATGATTTATTATGCTCTTTAATATTCTTAAAAATAAATTCTAATTCTGGTATGTCTTTAGTGTATTTATTTTTGAATTAAAGTGTATGTAATTCATAATATAAAGTAATTTTTAAATTTAATAGTGAATTTTTAATTGAAAAATGTTTATGTATATGGACTATTGGTAAAATTTGTTTATATTGGTATTGAAATATTTTCATAGAAAAAGATTGAATTACTTTATATATTCTAAGGTGAATTCTTTGAGAGAAAATATTTTATAATTTTATTGTTGTGTTAATTGTTCTCACAATTAAAAACAATTGAAGAATTTATGTAATGTAATAAAAATAATTGTACTTATTTGTTATTTTTATAAGGCTGAAATTATAGACTTTTCATTAATTTTATGTTAATCTACTGTTTATTTTTCTGTCATTCTGTCAGGTTCCTCATTTCCTTACATGTTGATGCATTTATTCACTTCCATCATATCATTTTTGAATAGTACTTTTCAAATAAAAATAAAACAATTTTCCTGAAAACTATTATAAATTATTTTATTAAACATTTTCACTTCTCTGTTTAAAGAGTTAATTTTAATGCCAATTAGTGATTTTTTTTTTTTTACTTCCAAAATAGTTTACAAGTCAAAACGTGTTTCAACAGTCAATAGAGATATAAATAGTAGTAGTAAAACATTGTATTTCCAATCATCTGTAAGAAAAACAGAATTTAATAATTATAGTATAAATTTAGCATATGCTTTATTATTTTTGAGTTTTAATTAGTTGTGAAATCATTTTGAATTTATCCCGAGTAACAAAAATTTCAAACTTCAAAAAGTTGTTAAGTTTTTATCAAAGTACTGTATGAATAAAATTATAAAATTACTTTAAAAAATGTATTATAACTTATGATTAAACTATTGATATACATGAGTATAATAAAGTTATGCTTCAATATCTATAAAATGGTATTGAAGTGTAAATGTATTATATTCAATAATACTTTGACTAATGTAAAATTTTTAATGATTTTCAAACTATCAAGTATTCATACATCATACTTTATCTACATGTTTTATTTTTCATATTTTATTAGTAACATTTTTCCCAATGTGTCTTTTTTTTTTTTTTTTTTTACATTTTGCAACATTCAATGAGAATTTTCTATAGAATTTGCTTTGTTGTTAGCTAATTTATTAGAATACATATACAGTACTAGCATATTATCCTAATTTAATATTGTTGGTCTTGATTTTTTTCCAATATTTTTTATCACTAATAATTATTATTATTAAGGCTTAGTTTATACCATTATCTTTACTTCTATTGAACTTTTCATTATATGTCTCCAGTTTTATTTTTACTCTAGTTATTTAATCTATTTGGTAATAGCATATATAGTTTTAATTAAAATGAAACTGGTAACAAACCATAAACTTCCAATGAAATTTTACTTAATTACTAACATTTTTGACCTTGTTCAAAGGCCAGTATAGCCTGATGATGGCTCTTGAACAAGGCCAAAAGCATTAGTAATTAAACAAAGTTTTGCTGGTATTTCATGATTTGTTGTGAGTTTTTCAGTTTATATAAGTTTGCTTTTTTAATAAGTATAGAAAATTATATTCTTTTATTAAATATTAATAAATAAAATAAAATTATAATTGATTTTATGGTTGATTTTAGGGTTTAAATAATAATTGGAAATCCTGCTTACTATAATGATCTATTGTTATGATTATTTTTATGTCCTTAGATTGTCTTGAATTTTTAATTTATTTATGTTTTGTTCAACTAATAAACATTATCATTATTGAAGAGAGTCATATATAGAATTCCTTTATTTGTAATCATTTTGGGATTTTCCTAGTACTGATAACGGATGATGATAATGTATTGTTAACATTAAGCAGGAATATATAAGTAAGGCTAAAATTAGTGGAAATTTTGCCTTTGTCGATTCTGACACTAAAAGGATATGTTAAAACAGTTATAAAATGCATGAATTATAGATTTATTAACATAATTTTTATTAATTAATAGTAATTCTTGTTCTGTTGTTTTTTGCATTACCATCTTTTACAATAGTTAGCATATAATTGAAGTAGAAAATGCCACAGTTTAAATTGCTCTATTTCAAACAAAAAGTGATTAAATTTAAAAATTGTTTTAAAGTAGCCTATTGGTTAAAAGTGATGATAATTTGCTACACTGAGCGTTTTCAGACACTTTTTGATGCTAATAGTGTACAAAGACAGTTTAAAATAGCTATTTACTTGAAGATAATGATAAAAATGACCATATTTTGATTATAACAAGTTAGGCTTTTATAGGATTTTATTTTAACTTATTTTAACTAGGATTTTATTTTAACTTATCAGAAATAATGAGTCCCAAAATATATAACATTGAATAATTAATAACAATGTCTGTGATGAAAATAAGCAGATTTTTGGTATTAAAATTTTAGCTGATATATTATTGGGTTGTTTGGAAAGTAAGTTCGTATTTTTTACCACTAGACGGATTAGTTATATTTTTCCTGCCATTTTCATTCTAAACTGTATTATCATTATATATTTTGACAGCTAGCACTTTAAGGCTTATTTGTAAAAAATTTTGTTTGATTTTGTGCAATTGTTTATTTTTTGTGTCCCATCGAATATGGAAGATTGAAAGCAGCATTTTTGGCATATTTTGCTCTTTTATTACTGAAAGGTAAGAATGCTGTTGAAGAAAGAAAAAAATTGTGTGACGTGTATGGAGATGTATTGACAGAATGACGGTGCCAAAACTGGTTTACAAAATTTCATTCTGGCAATTTCAATATTGAAGATGCACCACGTTCTGAATGGCCAGTTGAAGCCAATGAAAACAAAATAAACGTACTGATTGAAGCAAACTGCCAAACAACAACAACACATGAAATCACTGAGAGATTAAATTTGTCAAATTGAACTGTTTATGATTACTTGAAACAAATTGGTTTTGTTTCAAAGCTTGATATATGGGTTCCACATGTTCTTAAAGAGAGATGCTCTCTTTGATGGGATTTTAAGGAAATTTTTTTTTTAGAGCTTTTACCAGACAATTTAACAATTGATTTGAAAGTGTACTGCCATCGAGTAAACAAATTGAGTAATATCATCAAACAGAAAAGGTGGCTAGAATTGATCAACAAAACAGGTGTAGTGTTTACCATGATAATGTCAAATTTCAAACAAGTTTGGTAACTCGTCAGAAACTGTTATAACTTAGATGGGATGATCTATCACACCAACCATATTCGCCAGATCGAGCACACTCAGATTAACACTTGTTNAAAATTAGCAGGTGCCAAAACATACAAGTTATTATAAACACTTCAGTTTTATCATCATTGTCTTTGCATTAATAGACCTTATGCTTTTTTTTTGTGCTGGTAGCCTCAACATGAAACTGATAATATGAAATTGTTACTGGTATAAGTTATTATTATTGGTCTTAACTATGCTTTAATTTAATTGATGTAATTGCAATTTTCTCATGATATAATAGCTTAAATTGCTGACATTATGCTAGTTGAAGTTAATAGCAGAAACAATACTGGATGAATTACTTATTAATCAAAATTATTATTAATTAATAAGTATATGATTTTAAACTGTTTTAATGTTAAGGCTGGTTAGCACAATATGACTACTATTCATTTTGTCACAGCTTAATTAATTAAAACATTGACAAGATTTGTTGATGATTCAAATGTTTATATGGTGTTTTGGTGTATGACTAAAAGTTATTTTGATCATGTGCAAGAGCTTTCATTTCTCTCTAAAGTTATGAAATACTATCTAACACTTGATTCTAATCTTGTCTTTGATTGGTTTGACAATGTGATAATGAACAAAATATCTGAGAGATTACACTTTTTGTTATATAGTTGCAACTTATGACTTGTTGGTGGTATTAGTTCAACAATGATGTTCAAATGAAGCAAATACACTGGTGGAAATTGAAAGTGTTACACCCAGATGGAATTGGTGAAAATTCACAAAACTTGGTAAACATGTACAGGGGCATACCCAGAAAAAATGAACACGAAATGAATTATGCAAAGTTTTATTGCTGTTTGGTACATGTTTCAGTAAGTGGTATGCCCACCTTGAGCATGATACACTCTTGGATTCTTGCAGGCATTGAATCAATAAGTGCTTGAATGTCTTGTTGGGGTATATCTCTCCATGCCTGCGCAAGTGCAGTCAGTTGTTGTACAGTGCATGCTGGATGGCTATGAGAAGTAATCCATCTATTCATGGCATCCCAGGCATGCTCTATAGGGGATAAATCTGGAGACCAGGCAGGCCAATCCATGATTGCAACGCTTTGCAAGGCCTGTCTTGTGATGGCAGCAGCATGAGAACAGACATTATCTTGTTGGAAGATACCGTTGGAAGATATGGTGTTCATGAAAGGTATGACTACTGGATGGATCACCCTGTCCACATACTGGCGGGCGGTCATTGTGCCTTCAACAACCACCAACTCGGTCCTGCTGTCGTAACTGATTGTCCCCCCCATGACACCAAAAATTGGACCTGAGTGGCATTCTGAAATCACAGCAGGGTGGGCTCTTTCTCCAGCACGCTGGCAGACATGTTGCCGACTATCACATTGGTCTAAACAGAATCGGGATTCATCACTAAACACAACTATATGCTATTCATGTGTCCAATCACGTCTAGCAGCACATCATGTTAGCTGTTGTTGGCAATGAAATCTGGTTAATGAAATACATTGTATGGGGGTCAGAGATCTCAGCCCAGCATCAAGCAGTCGGTTTAGAATTGTCCGTGGGGTGACTCTGGCAGTAACTACTGCTTCGATCTGTGCTGCCGTAGCACATCTGTCAGCAACTGCCATCCGCACAATATGGCGGTCTTCACGTGGCATCGTTCTTCTACGTGGACTTGTTCCAGCTATGTGAGTACTGGACCCTTCCTGCGGCCAC